AATAAACTTTTCATTAATGCAAAATTTTTAAATACTCGCTCTGGTCCTTTTTATAAAAAATAAAATGAAGTATTTTCTTAATCTTTATAAAAAGAAATAAATAATAGATTTAAGATGTATTAATTACTAATTTTTTTTATATTTTTCTTTTATTAGTATCATTAAATATATAAATTAATAACTATATTATTTAATGTTATAAGTATTTTTAAAATAAAATTTATATTTATGAAAAACATAACAAAATTAATTGCTTTCCTTAATCCTGATATGTTTTTTATAAAAAGGACTGAGGTATAAAATATCTTAAAGAAAATTTCAAAAGCATACTATGTACGGTTGTCATAAGGTTTTGTAATATTTAATTTTTCTTCCATTTTACAGCTTGTTAAAGGTGCATTTGTTTTAAATTTTAAAATAGTTGGTTTTAATATAGCAAAAAAAAAAAAAAAGTTAGTTTTAAAAAAAATTATATTTAGGTATGATTAATCCAATACGCTTTGTCTAAATCATTAAGTTTTCATGAGCAAATTGCATACGTTGAGATTAAATTCTCAAATTGCTATGAAACAAATAATATTAATAGGTTATAATTTATAGCTTATTCTACATAATTCACTGCACAGTTCCATTTTTTTAAAACCTTATACACGATGAATTTACTTTATCCGTCTTAACATATATAAAAAAAGGTAAGATAGAATTAGGATTAGAGGTAAGTTAGTAATTTTTTTTAAGAATAATTAATAAATATTATGCTGTTATTTTTAGTAAAAGATACATCTGTTTATTTATTATTTTTCTTAAATTTTTATTTAAAATTAATTAAAAATATTTTAAATATAGAAAATATATTTAAAGAATAAATTTTATTAAATTAAAATGAGCCAAAATTTAAATTTATAAATATTCATTAATTTTTATTAAGTTCATAAGTTACTTTCTGCATTTATAAATTTTATAATGTTAAGTATCATATATACATTTTTTATAATGATAATGTTACATTTATTTTTTAAAATATTAAATTTTATTTAAATAAATTATTTCAAGTATTTTGATAATAAATGAATTAATAAATTTAGCTTGTATTATTTTTTGTTGTTAGTTTTATGACGTTAAAAGTATTTATTAAATATGTGATGTTTCTAAAATAATTTTATAAAAATAAATGGATAAAAATAATAATATAAAAAATATTAAAATGTAAAATTTTTTATGATTAATACTAAAATAGAATATAAAATAATATATTAAAAAATTATTTATAAAATTATATAAATAAAAATTTTATTATAATTTAATAATCATTAATGATACAGAAAAAGAACTAGATAAATATCTAACTTAATTTGATAATAAATTATTATATTTTATTTAATACTAATTAGTAACAATAATTTATTCTAAATATTTAATATTAAACAAATTTATTCGTACTTTATCTATCTTTAAGAAAATTTATTTATATATTATTTTATAATAAAATTATATTATATAAAACATAAATATTTTTAATAGATTATTATAATTTTTTAAAGGTAATTAACACATAGGTTAATCTTAATCTATGTGAGTTAGGGTTAGATTAGTTAGGGTAACTCATTTTATCTCTTCCCTCTCTCTTTTTAATTAATATGGAATAGTCATAATTATGATCATATATATATATATATATATTATGTTTAGTTCAATTGGAATTTTCAATATTAATTTAATTGTTGGTCAAATAACTAAAAAATATTAAGAGTAATCATGAATAAATAAATCTAAATCTATTAACAATAAATCAAAATAGAATAAAAAATAAAATATCTCAAAATTCATAAAGCATCTCATTATTATGAAGGAAAGAAATTATTAATAAGAAGGAGAAAATGATAGCTTAAGAATAAGATATTTTAAGTGAATAATTTTTTTTTAAATTTACTATTTTATGAATTAAAATGAGTTGCTTAAATATTGAGTTTTAAAAAATTTAGAATTTAAATAATTTTAATAAAGATTTTTAATAGACTAAAATTAAAAGAGTGAGAGTTTGAAATTGATTTTTTTTATTGTGTGATTCATATTTTTTATTTAGTTATGGTTAATTTAATAATTTAAATTTTATATGTTTAATTAATTTTATGAAATATAGTTAACGCTTCAAAATTTGTAATAATAATAATAATATTTTTAATTTATTAATATAAATGTATGTAGATTGTTACGTGTTTGTGTTTGAGTTATATGATGATGATGATGAGTATTGAATGATGATGTGAACATAGGTGTATATGTGTTGATAACGTGGATGCATATGAATAAGTGAATGTTGATTATGCATTAGAAAATGTTTGATTGCGTTTGGGCTTGACTAATTGAGAGAATTGGTTAAATGTGTGCTACAAGGGGCATTCTCACTATAGCAAGAAGGCCGTGGGCGAACGACGTGCATTTCTAGGTTACAGTCTTGCTGTAACGAGAGGGTCTCGTTAACGAGATTCTGCAGAAATTAAAGTGCAGTTTTCTTTGAAATTTTCGCTACAACAAGGCATTGTTGTGGCTTGCTATAGCGAGAGTGTCGCAACCAGAAGGGTATTTGAGAGGTTTAGGATTTGTGAAGCTCATTTCTCATCCATCTCTTCAAACTCTCTTCAATTCTCTTGACTTCTAACCCTATTTCACTGATTAAATTGTCTCCAAAGATGTTTGTGAGTTAGATTGAAGATTGAACTCGTGTTTGGAGCATTTGGAGGTGAGTTTTAAGGGCTAGAGTTTCAGTTTTCGTCCCTATTCTCCGTTTTCTCGGTTTAAGGTTTAGGGTTCTCATGGAATTCTTCCATATGTTTAAGACAAAATTCGTGTGGGGAGCACTTTCTTTGTTAATTGGTGTTGTGGGTCTTCGATTTGAGGTAAGGAGGGGACTCTACCCTATCTCATTTTGTTAAAATTCTTTTATTTTGTATGTGTAGCAATGTGATTGAGATAAAAGGTAGAAAAAGTGTATGTTTGATGAAAATTTCATGTGAAACATGATATGATAATAGTTGGGTGTAGTGTGTGATGGAATGGTTAATCATGATTAGATTGTAATGGAAACTTTTTGTGAAATGTAGTGTAATTGATATTATGTGTGATGTGTGGTGAAATAGTTGGTTGTAATGTGGTTGAATTGCTTAGACATGTCATTGATAGATATTGAATAATATAAAATGGTTGAAAGTGTGTGGAATGACATGTTGAATGTGAATGTGGATATGTGTGAATATGTTAGAAAACTATGAATGGTTTAGCAATATACTAGGGATATGAAAGAAATACCTTGGGAAAAGAGTATGGTGGTAACACCAACAATGAGCGTGAGTGCACCACAGGTTATATACTTTTCTCTTGACTTGACCTCTGACTAATGCCTTTGCTTGGGAGGCTCAGTACCGTACACATTGTATCCGTAGGACGGGAACTATTCGGCGACTATCCATAGTGTGAACTGAGTAAGTCCCTGAGGATGAAAGCATCATGAATTTGTTATCACAGTGCCACAGTGAGCGTGACTACGTGTAGAGAGCACAAGTGTGTGTAGATTGATTGGAGGTGCAATGAGCACACCTGTATATAAATTGATGTAATTTGCATTTGTGTATAGTGAGCGTAGGCGTGTGAATGATTGATATGTGTTTTGATGTGCGTGTGATTGCGATAAATGACTTAAATTAAATTATGTAATGTTTGAAGCATGCAAGATGAGTCTCTGTGCTTGTATGTAATAGTGTAAAGTACTCACCCTTATATTTATTTTTCAGGTGACTAAGACGATCAAAACTTAGTGAAGGGATGAATGATACTGCTATAGATTTAGAATATTTATTTTTTGAACTAAAATGTATTAATCAAGTCTTGTAGCAATGATTGATTTAAATTTGTAATCCATCCTATTTTAAAATACTTTAATGGACTATGTATTAGGAACCGTTTGAATGAAAATTTTTATTATTTCTATTTTTATAAAATTTATTTCTTTGAAAATTAAATTAAAATATTACAATTTTATCTTTTAAAATGTAAGTAATTTAATTATTCTATCCAAAAAAATATTTGAAATAAAAGAAATTTAATTATTTTATTCAAACAAAATATTTTAAAATAATAGAAATTCAAATGATGTAATTAATTTTTTAAAATTTTAAATTTTTTTAAATTTTTAATTACTTCATCCAAACACAACCTAATTTTTTTTTCAGGTGGTGCAAATATTTTTCTTTATCTCTTTGCTTTTTTTTATTTTTGCAGGGGAGGGGTTGTTAGGTTTCTATTTCTTGTATCCTCTTGAATTTATTTTTGGTCTTTTTAGAATCCCATTTAACCCATAAAAATATCTAAATTTCTTTATTAATATTTTAAATAAAATCTCAGAATAGTTTATGAGAATTATCGTACATTATATGATGATCGAAACATTGAAGCAAGTTGGATGCTAAAAAGTTTAAGATATATTTAAGAGAGAATTTTTGAAGGGAAAGACTTATTTTTTAATTTTAAATTAAAAAATTATATATTATTTATGATAATAAATATATTATTTATGATAATAAATATATTATTAATATATTAATTTTTTTAAAATATTAATTTATACCCTCCTCTCTGCTCCAAAAACAACCTTCTCAGAAAGGATCATTTATTTTTCAAAAGCAAAGGTAACATGCTAATCGTTGAATTTGGTATATTGATATAAAAGATAAAGACTAAAACGATTCGGATGTATATTGATTTTCTTTCCGCATTTTTGTTATCTGAAGCATGTGGCCTCAATGGTCTACCCACTTTTACATAAACCATTGAGAAAAAGGCTAAAAACTCAAACAAGCTAGAAAATTCTAAACACAACATGCAAGAGGAAGGAGAAACTGAACAAACAAAAGCAAGCTCAACCGATCAATCTATAATATTGGTCGAGAAACTTAAAGAAAACCATGCCCACATGTTAATATATAAACCATACAGTAAAGAAATGTTCAAACATTGTTTCTAATGGAGGAAGACCTTTTATCATCACTATTGGCAATGGCAAGAGCACGAGTCTTGGCAATGAAGAAACCCAAGGAATGTCCAACCACAGCAGCTATGAAGATTCCCACGTTGAAGGACATAACTGCAAGCATCACCAAATAAGTGAAACTGATGCGAAATAAGTACACAATTGCTTGAATCAGCCCCCCCATAAGGGGACTAGTGCCACGTTTGATGAGTGGTTGGTTAGATAAAACTTCACTAACCAAAGCTAGGAAGAACACAAAAATTATAGCAAAGATGTACATGCCAACACTGTGTTTAGGCCACCCAGAGAACAGCACTATGGCATCTTTGCCCCAGTAGAAGCTCATCTGCATCTTCATCATCATGTTTGTGCAATTTGACATAGGCATGTCTTGGCCTAAAGGCATATCCATCTCTTGATACTAATATAAAATGATAAGAAGAATAAAAGAGGATGTGAATAGAACTGTGTTATGCTTGCATACTATATTACATTCCTTGATCTAATCTGAAATACAATGCCAGAAGCTATTTTTATACAAGCAATATGGCTAGTAAATAATAACCGAATAAACTTACTATTCAATCAACAGAATTAGCTAATATGCTAGAACACAATTAACTAACCAACAGAAACCTAGATTAATATAATAATAAACACTTTCAGGGAAAGAGAGATGGGTTGAGACTTCAAGGATTTCTTGCTAGATTGACCTCATATTAATGAAAAGAGGAACCAATATGATATTAGAGGGTGATGAAACCTGAGAGTTACACAAACGTTTTAGCTTTATTTTGAAGGCTCTAGCTGGCTTCTATTTTGTTCATTTCTCATCGTCTTATATGAAAGGGGTCACATTAGTCCATTTCTTGTTCTGTATCCCGGTTGGAAGCCAGTTCAAAAAATTTAATTAGTAAATGAGAAGATTCTCATTTGTATTGATTAATTTAACATATAGTTGCTTAGTGAAATCTCGGTTATATCATCTTATATGAATACACACGCATAGAAAATCACATATGGAACAATTCTCTTGTAGTTGCTTTCAACATAATGTCTTATTTTGTAATGGGCCTTAGTTCATTTTTGTGGTTATAAAAAAAATGTTTAAAATTTGATATTCAAAGTACGAATTAGCAGTTTTAACGACATATTCGATCTAATAATAAATTTATCAGTTATATGTCCAGTTTCCGATCTTCTATACTATTAACACGACGTTCTGCTTAGCATATTAGCCATTTATTATTATTATTATTATTGTTATTATTATTATTATTTACTAGTTAATATAACTGCTAAATAATATTCATTTTATGGTCGCCGGCTTGTTAATTTTTAATCAAAATATCAATTAATTTTTTTCTGATGAACTTGTTACGATGGGCCGTAGCATCCAACAATAAATAAATGCTCCTTAGAAGCATGATAATTATAAGAGAGCAATTCTTATTTGGAGTACTCGTTTCGTAGTGATTATAGGTACTACACATTCGCAAGATTTGCTTGTTATTATAGACAAATTAATCTATTCATATATAAAATAATATATATATATATATATATATATATATTATTTAAATTTAAATATATTTTTGTCTTTCAAAATATATTTTATTTTAATATCTCTAAATTAATTTTTTTATTTTAACTCTTATACTTTTAAAAATCATTAATTTTAATTTCTCTCAGTAACGTGACTTCACAAAAAAAAAATGTGACACAAAATTTGACACGTATCAATATTTAAATGAGTTATTTTATCATATAATAGTAACTTAGAGAGCAAAATCACTGACTTTTCAAAATGTAGTAACTAAAACTAAAAAAATAATTTTGAGACTAAATTTACTAATTTTTCAAAACGTAGGAACTAAAACTAAAAATATAAATTTATAAGAATCAAAATCAAAATTTGATGTATTTTGAAGGATAAAAATATAAAATTAATCCTATTATTTATTACAATTTCATACTGCTTAGAATAATAATATAATTTCTATTAAATGAAAACTATGGCAACATTAGTAATCTCGATCCTTTGCAATTTTTTAAATATGTGATATTTGTTTTATCATAATAGAGATGTCAATAAATTAAAATAAGTTAATTCCATTTTATTTTGTTGGAGAAATTTTAATTTTAAATTTTAAATAAGTTTAATTTATTAAAATAATTCTATCAATACATTTATATAAATATATTATAAACAGTTTTTTTTTATCTAACCATTTTGTGGCATGATGTTAACATACTTGTTTTAACATTGAATTTTATTCATTTTAATAAATAATAAATTATAATTTTTATAAAAATTATAATATTTACTATCATGAATAAATTTATTTTAACCATACCATATGCTTATTATTTTTTCTTAACCTTTTTCTTTTATTTGGGATTTTCATTCTTTATTTTTGGATCTAAACTCATTAAAACTTTAATATGAGTTCAGTCTAATATTATGAAGATGAGAGTCAGCTTTAATAATTCTTTTTTTTTTTAAATGCATAATTTTATAATTGGACTCTCTTAATTATAGATTCTTTGATTGATGTATTGTCAAACCTGTTAACATGAGACTTAAATCTTAACAGGGCTAAAATAATATTTAGCCATAAGACTACGAATATGAATGCACGAGCTTTCAGATTAATTAAAATTGCTGGTCCGTCTGTTCAGAGATTAGGCATGCAGTAAATGGAGAAACAAAGCAAAGGGTGTGCCAGAAACAAATTTTCAATAGTCTTGTAATATTCGATTATTTTCTTAATTTTTATTTTGAAAAAATAAAATAGAAAAAAAAAATGACCGTGTGAAAGTTTTCGAACATGCAGAGAAAGGGACATAAATATAACACATCAACAAAAAAATGAACAACTTAATTGGGCTTATATTTGGCTATCATTCTAACATTTACTCAAATGCAATTGATGAACTGCTGAGTCACACAAGCCTCTTATTTTGCATTTCACAATTTGAACATAAAAAGAATATAATGACCAATTTTTACGTGTCAACAACGTTGCTTTTATTAGTCCAACTTCGAAAAAATAAAACACCGTCGTAATTTCTTTTTCTTGGCAGTTTGCCGTTGCAGGAAGGCAAAACTACACCGTTTTTTTTTTTTTTTTTTTTCATTTGTTTATATTTCTCAAGAATTCAGAAAAAGCACAACCGCACGATCCTTCTCCATCCAACGGTAAAATTTCGAAGTTCCAAAATGGGCAAATCCTACGGCTTCGGAGAATCCAAACCACCCGACTTCTTCCGGAAAGCCCGAGTCCCGAAAATCAAGAACCCGATGACGTGGCCACCAATTGCAACAATAAACACGCCACCATTAAACGACATGACGGCCAGCATAACCAAGTAGGAGAGCCCGGAACGCACCCCGTATAGCCCCGTCTTAAGGACCCCCCCAACGACGTCGTTCGAGGCTCCGGGCTTGAGTTTCACGATTTTGGTGAAGGAGAGCCACTCCACCAACACCGCCATGACGAAAACGAGGAGCAGCGCCACCGCGTACATGGCGGCGCTGTCACCGGGCCAACACCGGAACAGTATGTCCACCTTGTGACTCCAATAGAACGTCGTGTGTATCGGAATCCTCCGCCGCCCCAGCCGCGTCGCCACCGTGGAGTTATACGGCGCCGGGACTCCGTCTGCGGTGGCGGTTGATGACATATTGTAGTGTTATAAATATTATTAACGTATGAATGAACAATTGAGCATGGATGATCGATTATATATATAATACGTATCAAACCTTACAGAACATGAAAATATAAGCTATGATTCTTGTTCATAAAAATTGTTCCATAATTCATATGCAAGTAAGCAGATACGTACTGTAATTAAGATCAACAAAACCGAAAGGGGAATTAAAGGAAAAAAAAGCTATGCAGGGAGTAGCACTTTAGTTCTAGTCTGCTAGCATTTTCAGCAGAATGGGACCCTCCATCAATTCACTTTTTTCCTTTTTTCAGTTTACAATAGGTTTTTGGATTTGGATTAGTTTTGGAAGTTTATAAAACATAGTATATTACATTTATAAAATATTTTGATCTTTCTAAAATATTAGTGTTGTTGTATTTTATTCAAAATTTCAAATAGCACAAGCATATAAATAATTTATTTAATATTTTATCCACTCATGAATTACGGTACACAAATTTAAAATAATTACGTTTATTTAAGTTCTTCCTTTATCTTTGCTTTATGTTTTTCATTTAACGAATATATTCCCTTCATTTTCTTTATCTCTTTTCCCAACCTGTTTTGTTGGTAATTTATTCATGTGTACACCGATATGCCTGTTTTCTGTGCTGTATGAATCGTGTTACCACCATATATGTTAATAAATAAGATTACTTTGTGGGGGCTTCATATGTACATATTGCTAGAGATAATAGATTCTTAGAAGTAATTACTTACTTAAAAATTAGTTATTAATTAGTTTTATTTGATTACTTTTCTCTTTATATAAAGTATTATATAATGACATTGTACCAAGATTTTTTCATTTTATTAATAAGATAAATTTAATCTCTTAATTTCTTTTCTTTTAGGTTTTACTGTATTTGCCAAACATAGTATTAGAGAGATTGACACACTCCTTAAAAAGAAAGTTTTAATGGCTATGCACAAAGGTCTCTTTTGAAATCATTTTCTTTTAAGTTTTATGCATTTCTCATCATTTGTTTTGGTTTTTTCTACTTTTCTTCAACAAAAATCATGTTTCTTGTTTTTCTTTCTCCTTCGTATTCTTGTGCTTGTAGTTTTATTTCATCAATTAAAGCTTTAAGTTTAAGATTGTATTTCAATGGCTTCAAGAAAATAAATTTTCGTAGATATTTGTCCTCTTAAGCTTTTTTAAAAGGTGGATGATGTATCCCCTTTAATTTTTTATTTAGAAATACATAATGTAAAATAGTTTTATGCAATGTTATATTTCTCAATAATATGCTATATTAATACATGAAGTTGTTGCTGAAAAATTTAACAATTCTAACAGATACGTTTAAAAAATAATAAATCTAAAATAACAACTCCTATAGCAGCTTGAATTTAAATAACAAACTGTTTGTTAAGCCTTGTTAACAGCAATTTGTTATATCAACAATTTGTTACGATATTACCCCCCTCAAGTAGGAGCATGAAGATTCAGAATGCCCAACTTGCTCATCAAGAACTCGAACTGAGGTTTGCCCAACGCCTTGGTGAAGATGTCTGCGAGCTGTACTGTTGTAGAGACATAAGTGGGAAGGATATTCTGTTGTAGAACCTCATTGCGGACAAAATGACAGTCAACTTCAATACGTTTGGTGCGTTCATGAAACACCGAATTTTTGGCAACGTGCAATGCCGCTTGACTATCACAATGAAGGACCATAGGTTTGGGGTGAGCAATGCCAAGATCAGAAAGAATCCCTTTTAACCATTTGAGCTCACAAGTAGCTGTGGCCATGGAGCGATATTCAGCTTCAGCTGAAGAGCGTGAGACAGTATGTTGTTTCTTAGTTTTTCATGAAATAGGAGATTGGCCCAGTTGGACAAGCCAACCAGTCACGGAGCGACGGGTAAGAGGACAACTAGCCCAGTCAGAATCACACCACCCGTGAAGTTGGAGATCACAGCTACTTGAAAGTAATATACCTTGTCCTGGATTGCCTTTGAGAAAGCGAACCACCCGGAGAGCAGCGTCCCAGTGCACAGTATGAGGTTGCTGCATAAACTGAGATAAAGTGTGCACACTAAAACATAGCTCAGGACGGGTGAAGCAAAGATAGATTAGGCGCCCAACCAAGCGACGATAACGCTCCGGGTTATCAAGAAGTGGCCCAGAGGTTGAGGACAAATGGTGATTTTGCTCTAATGGAGTGCTAGTTGGTTTGGCGCCAAGAAGACCAGCCTCAGAGATAATATCAAGCGCATATTTGCGCTGACAAAGGAAAATTCCCGTAGAACTAAGAGCAACCTCAACGCCCAGAAAATACTTCAATGTGCCAAGATCTTTTATGTGGAAGCAGTCACTAAGATATGTTTTAAATCTTTGGATGGCGGAAGAGTCATTTCCCGCAATAATGAGATCATCAACATAAACTAAAATAGCAAGCTGAATGCCATCGCGATGCAAAGTGAAGAGAGAATAATCAAGACATGATTGCTGAAAGCCATAGGAAACAAGAGCATGAGACAGCTTAGTGAACCAACAACGCGGAGCCTGCTTCAAGCCATATAAAGATTTGCGTAATTTGCACACTTTGTGAGGTGAAGAAACGGTAAAACCAGGAGGCATGCGGATGAACACCTCATCATGGAGATCCCCGTGGAGAAACGCATTATGTACATCCATTTGATGGAGTTCCCAAGACTTGGCTGCTGCTAAGGCAAGAAGAGTGCGTACAGTTACCATTTTGGCAACTGGGGCAAAGGTCTCTGTATAATTTATGCCTTCCTTCTGATGATTTCCAAGAACTACTAAACGAGCTTTAAAACGCTCAATGGTACCATTAGAATTGTATTTGATACGATATACCCATTTGCATCCAAGAGCTTTCTTACCAGGAGGCAATTGTTGTATGGTCCAGGTATCGTTTCGTTCGAGAGCATCAATCTCATCCTGCATAGCCTGTCGCCACCGAGAATCTTGTACTGCCTCATGAAAGTACAAAGGTTCTCTCTCTGTTGTAAGTCCTGCAAGGAATTGCCTATGGGGCACAGAAAATCGGTCACAATTAACATAGTGAGCAATAGGATATGGAGTACCTGAAGACGATGATGGAGCTGATGAAAACGGGAATGGACTCAATATTTGTGCAGTATTAGTGACGAACCCCTGTAATCTGGTGGATTTTTGTTTGACGCGATGTCCGCGTCCAAGAAGTGAAGAGGGAGGTGTATCATGAGAGGAATTCAGAGTTTCTGGCACCTCTAGGTCCTGAGCAGAATCATCAGTGCTTGCAACAACATGAGAGGACTCAGCAACAGTAGTGGAGGAAGTTGCAGGTTCAGTTATAGTAGCAGCAGAAGAAGAGACAGCAACGTCCTTGATGTGTGCTGCAGGAGATGTTGATGTAGCAGCAGGAACGTCCATTATAGAACGACTTGTGCCCCCCTAACTCGCAAGTCCTCTTCATCATCGAAGACCATGGGCTCAGTAGGTATGAGAAGAGAAGAACTAAGGTCATTTTCTGAATTTGTGAAGGGGAATTGATTTTCAAAAAACTAAACATCTCTTGATACAAAGAACTCATGAGTTTCTAAATCATAAAGTCTCCAACCCTTTTGCCCATAGGGATATCCCATAAATACACATCGCCTACTTCAACTTGTAAATTTGTCACCACGAGTATTATGATTGTGAGCATAATAGAGAGAGCCAAGAACACGTAGATGTGTATAGGAAGGCTCTTGTCCATTTAACACTTCATGTGGGGTCTTGCCTTTTAGTGTTGTGGTTGGAGTTCGATTGATCAAATAACCGGCTGTTAAAACACACTCGCCCCAAAATTTAATTGGCAAATTTTCTTGGAATCGTAAAGCACGTGCAACATTTAGAATGTGACGATGTTTGTGTTCGACTCGCCCATTTTGTTGAGGTGTGCCTATACATGAAGTTTGAAAAATGATTCCATGGTCCAAAAAATAATTTTTCATACAGATAAATTCTGTTCCGTTGTCACTGCGCACAATTTTAACCCTTTTTTTTCAAATTTCCTTTCTACGATAGAAAAAATTTTTGTCAACGTTTTCGTGACTTGTTTCTTATCAGTTAACAAAAAATCCACACTGCACGCGAACAATCATCAACAATAGTCAGAAAATAAGAAGCGCCACAAGATGAGCGAGTTCTATATGGACCCCATAAATCGCAATGAATCAAATCAAATATATTAGAAGCTTGATTAATACTCAAGGGAAATGTGTCTCTAGTTTGCTTTGCCTTTTGACATGTATCACAAACTTTATTAAAATTGCTAACACTGCTGTCCTTTGAAATAAACTGAGTAGTTTTCCATGAAGGATGTCCCAACCTCATGTGCCACACTTCTAGTTCATGCATTCCTTCAACCTTGCATACTGTCTTCTTAGGGGTTGGTTGAAAGAAATAGAGTCCATCCCGTCGTTCACCCACTCCAATCAGCATCTTCGAGGTTTGGTCCTGTATGGCACATATGTTTCCAGTGAAGAATACATTACAATTTAACTCATCGGATAATTGAGAAATAGAAATCAAATTGCAGTTTAATTGTGGGACATAAAGGACATGCTGAAGGTGTAAATTTTCAGTAAACTTTATTGTTCCTTCCTTAGTAGAGCGAGCACATTGCCCATTAGGGAGCCCAATAGGACATCTAGAGACGTCTCTCACATTGTGCAAATGATGTAAGTTACCTGTCATGTGATTTGAGACCCTACTATCAAGAATCCATGCATCATTGTTAGACTTACCAGTCATGCTTTCATTTGGAGAGACTTTGGATGAATTGAGCATTTCTACCAAAGTTTTCCACTGTTCGTTGCTCAAACCTCCAAGTTTCACATTATTATTACCAAGATTAGACCCTATATTCTGAGCTAAGTTGGCACGGATAGGGCCTTTAGGAGCGCGAGAGCCAATTCCATCGTTGCCATTTTGTGAGTGTCGGCGCGCAGCAGTGCGGTCTCCATTGCGAGGACGA